AGAAAATATGATTTTGCTCTGAAATGCCGGGCCACCTACCGACTGCCTGCTTTTTCCAAGATGGTAAAGGGTGAGATAGAAGGCGTGTCCTGGTGGTTCAGGTGGTCAGTGATGGTGGAGAGATTTCAGCAGACCAGGCAAGGAGAATAGAGCCAGGCCTGGGTGTCTAGAGTGCTACGTGGGCTTTGGAGGGAATAGTGGCCTGTCAGCCCCCCTTAGAGCTGCCAGGGTTAGCAAATAACAGTACAAGATGCCCAGTTAGGTTTGAATTTTGGATGGGGATAGAGTTTTGGTTTTACAAGACAAAAAATGTTATAGATTGATACTGGTAATAATTGTACATTATGAATGTATTTAATAACACTGAACTGTACACCAAAAAATTTCAGACATGGTAACTTTCATGTTATGAGTATTTTACCACAATAAAAAAATTGGAAAGAAGTTGTATCAGGTAGACAGCAAAACATTTTTTTGTATAAGGATGTTCCAGGACGCAGGGGTGTGGGAGGGACTCTCCTCCCTTCCCATTCACAGACCTGCCTGTGCCTGGCTGACTGCTTTTCCCAGTGTGTCTTGTCATGACACTTTGAAGCCACAGATCTGCTTTGGAAAGATATGATCTCCCCCATGGGAGTAACTATTATAAGAATAAATATTTTATCCAAGCTCCCGGTCTCCTCAAGATAAATATCCCAGGAGTGACCTGAATTATAAAGAGGAATGGAAGAAAAAGAAGAGCACTGTAATTTTTTCCAAGCCACGTATATGTCAGGGGATGGATTCAAGGGCTTTTGAAAGATGTCCACATAGCTGCGTGAGACCTTCCATCTGACTCTGGTGGTTAGTGTTCTTAGCCCGTCCCCGCCTGGCGCTGTCATTGTACAGCAAATCTCGGCCACCCCTCCTGAGTTGGCGGTGGGGAGAGGTCTTTGTTGGAATACCAGATGGGCAGGGATGACCTACACTCTTGAAATTGAGAATATGGAATGATTGCCAGAAAAGGCTGCTACCTAACTGAGCTGTTCATCTCTGCCACGGGATAATATTTGAGGGAAAGTATAGCAGTCCAGTGGGAAAACTGTGGCTTGACTGGCTTTGGGCTGATGCTCTCTGGCCCTAACTTGAGCTTTGAGCATACTTGTCATTCAGGAACATGCTTGGAAACATTCTGCTTTTATTACAGACTGCATGAGCGGAGTTGGTGTGTGCTAGTTGGCTGCTTCATCCAAAGCGTTGTGGGTTATATTGTTGTATTTTCGGTTTAATCAAGCAGACAAAATCAGAATTGACACTTTTAAAAATTCAAGCGTTAGTTTCACCAACTGGAGCCAAGATATTTATTAGAATGATTTATTTGCATTAGTATATTTTTATTACAGGCATTTATCTCGGCCCTGAACAGCCATCCCTGGCTCCCAGCGAGTCATGGCCAGTCTGTGCCACACCACTCGTTAATTTTCTGTCCTCCAATCTCCACGGGGGGTTCCCCACAACGTGAGTCTGTTTCACTTCTTGTGCCTTTGACAACTGATGTGCATTTCAGCCTGTGGCATTGGGAACGCCCCACCGAAGTTACCTGGTGAGGGATGTGACCCTGTGTCCCCTGTTGGCTATGGAGGGTTGAGGTAGCCCTGGCCATGTCTTATTTTGAGGTGTGGCTGACTGCTGTACCTGGGTGGGCACAATAGGATTTAAATAGCATCTTCATCTAACATGTTGGGAGCCTCGAACCATGGGCGTGGGCCTCGAACCATGTGAATTTTGGATGCTGCCAAGCTCCCCCCCTCCCCTAGCCCTGCCACTCCTGAATTGGAAATTAGAGCACCAGATGGGCTCTCCCAAGGAGAAGCATCACAAGCCCACCCTTCTGCCTTCTTTGAAAGCAGCCCCGGCTGTTTATTGTGAACTGTGGTTGTCATGGTGATGAGTGGACGCCTGCTTGGGAAGGAGTGAGAAGAAATGCTGATGTGGATTAAGGGTCATGCCCAGAGATGACCTTGCGTTGCCTGTGGACACCCGTACTGTGACCTGCACTGAGGAGTCTCCTGTGTGGGGCCTGGGCAGGTTGATATCACACAGAACCCAGGGGGGGAACAGCCCCCTGTTGCCCACTCCCTCCCTGTGATGTATCTGGCTCCCTGATGAGAGTCCATTGCCCTGCATCTGTGGCTCTGTCTCTGCCTGAAAAATTGGATCCCATTCCCCACTGTAACATTTATAGAAGGGAGCTTAGTTAACCTGGTTTCATTCATCTGTTGACTGGTTGGTTTCTTTGGAGGGGGAGTTTGAGACGACTGCTGCCTCTTTGGTAGTCGTAGGCAGAACAGGCCTTCAGGAAACCAAGTCCATGCTAGAAGATCAGTATGCTGGGGAACTTTCAGACAGGAGGGTAGAATACTGTTGTGTGCTAAGTGTACTCTGAAATAACCAAGCGTCCTCAGCAGAGCTGTCTGGGGGGATGTCTACATTAGACTTTACTTCAGGAGGAAGTGAAGAGCATTTGAGGTGAGATTCCTTGTTGTGTCCTGTGGGAGTTTTTGCCTGGTGTCCCTTGACCACAGCAGGAGAGCAGAGCCAGGTGGCCAGGCAGAAGAAACCTGGCTCCAGGGCCAGTCAGTCTTAGCTCTGCAGATAGCGGCACTGTCCGCCCAGCTTGGTCAGCGCAGTGCCTGCTGAGGTAGAGTCCCCTGGTGGATCACAGTACTCTTGTTGGGGAAGGATGGGTTTTGCTCCTGGGATGGAGGGCTTTGGAGGACCGAGGGCTTTGTAAGACATCTGACCTGCTGGGCCCCAGCTACACCCCTGCACCCCCTCAGCTCCAGGAAGGGTAGCCCTGTGCAGTTTTCTTAGGGCATGGAGGCCATGTGCTCTCCTTCTCTTCCTTGTCCTTAAAACCCAGACTACTTCCCCCTGTGCCACCTGCTTCTTCTCCCACCATGAGCACCTCTGCCCCATCAGTACTGGGAGGGCAGGCTCAGTCCTTTAAGTTTTCTCTAAACCTTCAAAGAGATGGTATTCCATCAAGGAACATGACAGCTATAGTCTAGGACAGGGCAAGGAACTGGCAGCCACACCTTGCTGTGTCACCTGAGTGCCATGGGAACCCAGAGTTAGCTCTAATACATGGGACCCCCAGCATTTTGGGAGGTGAAGGTGAGAGGATTGCCTGCGTCCAGGGATTTAAGACCAGCCTGGGCAACTTGGCTTGACCTTGCCTCTACAATAAATAAGAAAATTAGCCAACCTTGATGGTGCATGCCTGTAGTCCCAGCTACTTGGAAGGCTGAGGTGGAAGGACCACCTAAGCCTAGCAGGTCAAGGCTGTGGTGGCCGTGAGTGTGCCACTGCACTCCAGCCTGGGTGACAGAGTGAGACTCCAACTCAGCACAAAACAAAACACATGGGGCCTCGGTTTTCTCACCTGTAAAGCCAGAGTGGGGATGTCCATCTTGTACGTGTACAGCTTTTGGAAACCCTAAGGTGCTCCATAAATGTAACTCACTGCCAGTGTCATCATCATCATATTGTTACTGCTGGATAATTTATTTCCAGAAAGTTCTGGAACTGGCTGACCATACCGTCTTCCCAGAGCCCCCTTTAGGGTTTGGACAGGGATTCAGTGCTGTGAATCTGGCTTCTATCTTCTGGATGGCACAAGGAACTAATAGAGAAAGCATACCTAAACCTTAAATTGTATTAATTGAAGTAAAGGCAATTACAGTTTGATGTCTTCTTTAAGGAAAGATTTACATGTACTTGGGGCATTTTTTTTTGTAGTAGTGGATTGTCTAATTTGCATTTGTTCTCATCCAAGAATTTAGGCTTTTAAAAAATATGATTTTAGCCGGGTTCGGTGGCTCAGCCTGTAATCCCGTGCTTTGGGAGGCTGAGATGAGTGGCTTGCCTGAGCCCGCGGGTTCGAGACCTGCCTGGGCAACTTGGCGAGACTTCCTCTCTACAATAAATAAAAAAATCAGCCGGGCGTGGTAGAACGTACCTGTAATTCCAGCTACTCGGAAGGCTGAGGCGGAAGGATCGCCGGAGCCCAGCAGGTCGAGGCTGCAGTGACTAGGAGCGGCCACTGCACTCCTGTCTGGGTGACCGAGTGAGACTCCAACTCAAAAAAAAAAAAAATATGATTTTAACTCTTGGACATTGTTGGTGGGAATGTAAAATGGTACCACTGCTGTGGAAAATAGTATGGAGGCTCCTCAAAAATCAAAAATAGGATTACTGTGTGATCCTGTGATTTCACTTCTGGGTCTGTACCGAGAGGAACTGAAAACAGAGACTCAAGCAGAAATATCTGCACACCCATGTTCATAGCAGCCTATTCACAATAGTCAAGAAGTGGAAGCCACCCAGTGTCCATTGACACATGAATGGATAAGCAAAATGTGGTATGTATACAATGATGTATATATGTATATTATTCAGCCTTAAAAGGAAAGAAGTCCTGACACATGCTACAACATGGATGAACGAAATAAGCCAATCACAATAGGACAAATGTTGTATGATTTCACTTATGTGAGGTACCTGAGTAGTCAAGTTCATAGAGGCTGAAAGTGGAATGGTGCCTGCCAGGGGCTGGGAGAGGGGAATGGGGAGTTGATGTTTAATGGGGACAGAGTTTCAGTTCGGGAAGATGAGAAAATTCCAGAGATGATGGTGATGAGGGCTGCAAATGTACTTAATGCCACAGAACTGTACACTTAAAGATGGTCAAATGGTGAAGTTTGTTATCCGCATCTTACTACAGGTAAAAAAATAAAATTTTAAAATGATTTTAAAAACTTTTTAGAAGTATGCAACTATATGTATTAACTGCATACAGTTTAAGTGTAATTAAATATATATGTCTGCACACACAGCTATACACATACTCACTTGCACATGCATTTTAAAAAATTGTCTTGCATTGCCTACCCAGTTTTTGTAACTTGGTTTATTTCTCTAACATATAAAAACACAATCTTTAACTTCCTGGTTTCCAGGTTTGCAATGGTTTGGAGCAGCCAAGGAAGCAGCAGCGCTCTGATCTCAATGGACCTGTGGACAATAACAACATCCCAGAGGTAATTATTTCCAAGGATGAGAGTTCTGGGCCAGGGCCCTGATGATGGAGTGACCCACTCCGTCCTCGATGTTCTCATTCCACCCCGTGCTGGGGGCAGGGGAGAGGGGTCCAGGCCCAGCTACGTCGGTGTCACTGTGTGGGGAAGAGATGGAGTGTGCTGGCCTGGGAGAAAGGAGGAGAGGGCCTTTCCTGCTGGTGCAGGACACACCATGGAGCGTGCCTGTGTTGCTGACGGTGTTGTTGCGGGGGTGGGAGTGAGGGGGCCACGGGTGCTTCTTTTTCTTTTTTTTTGAGTTGGAGTCTCACTCTGTCGCCCAGACTGGAGTGCAGTGGGCGCTCCCGGCCACCGCAGCCTCGAGACCTGCTGGGCTCCGGCGATCCTTCCTCCTCAGCCTTCCAAGTAGCCGGAATTACAGGCATGCGCTACCACGCCCGGCTGATTTTTTTTTTTTTTTGATTTATTGCAGAGAGGAGGTCTCGCCAAGTTGCCCAGGTGGGTCTCGAACCCGCAGGCTCAGGCAATCCACTCACCTCAGCCTCCCAAAGGCGCAGGATTACAGGCTGAGCCACCGAGCCCGGCTACCATCGGTGCTCCTTTATGTGTTGGAAACTCATTCGACCCATAACCATGTTCGCAGCCAGGGTTTCTCAACAGTGGCACTGTTGACATTTAGTTTTAAGCAATTCTTAGTCTTGGAGGCTGTTCTATGCACTGTAGGGTGTTGAGCAGCCTCCCTGGCCAATACCCAATAGATGCCGGCAGTTACCTCCTTCCTCCCACCAATTTGTGACAACTAAAAATGTCTCAACATTGCCAAATGTCTCCTTGGGGACAAAAATCATCCCAACTGAGATCCATTGTTCTAATTCAACAATATGTTTTTGTTTTTTTTAAAAAATCCCATATAAACTTACACGGCTATGATGGAGGCTTTTAAAATGAGGACTTAAGCAATTATTTTTCCTCTCTGGGTGACATAGTTTAGATGAGATTGTCTAACTTTGATTAAATAACGATGGCCAGTCATGGAGTGGTCATCAGGGGTTATCTTGCTTTTAGGACGTGCCTAGGTAGCTCTCACACCCACAGTTGGAGACCTATTGGGTTGAATGGGTGCTAGGCTCCCTTTTAACCATGACGTGCTCAGCTGAGGGTCCCAAAGCTTTAGATGCTGGCTTTTGAGGCCCTCCTAAACATCGTGTTGCCTGCATAAGACTGATTTGTTGTATGGAGCTGTCTTCTTGGGAACACCGGTCCCTCATGGTGGTTAGCTTTTCTCATGACAATACACATCTCAGCCCTTCCTAGGTGCCCCCTTACAGACCACCTGCTTACCACTGGTGTTTTATTTTTTATATTTTCTAACAGACAAAGAAGGTGGCATCATTTCCAAGTTTTGTGGCTGGTAAGTGACTTTGAATTTTATCTCTTGGGGGCAGTTGCATTTTATGTCAAAACGGAGCTTTTACTTGTGGCTTTCCCCTGCAGAACTTGTGTAGAAAGCACCCCTTCCAGCCAGGGGTCTGAGTGGGAGAGGCAGCCCAGCTGATTTCCTCACTTTGATGTGGGAACAGTGGACCATCTCCTCTAATTACACTTGCTAATTGCATCACAGATGACACTGATGATTGAATAGATTGAAATGTGTCTGTTTAAGCAGCTTATCATTGCTAATACTTTTGATCAGGGTGGATATAACGACATCCAAATTCAGGCTGTTCTTTACCATTCCATATTTTTGAGGAGGTTAGTAGAGCCTTTCTTTTTTTTTTTTTTTTAATCAATATTTTTTATTATGATAGTGTGGGGTACAGTTAAGGGTTAGGTATACAAATACGTTTCATTCAGACACCCTGTTGATAAGAGGTGTTTCCCCGTCCCCAGACAGATGTTTGCTACCATTAATCCCATCTCCCCCCCACCATAGTTTCCCAGTACTGTCAGTCATTTTCTTATAGTATTACATTGGATATTCAAGGTCCATTATATGAGTGAGAACATGTGATACTCGGATCTTTGTTTCTGTGAGAGGTCACTCAGTATTATAGACTCTAGTTCCAACCAGGTTGCTGCGAAATTCATGATTTTGTTCTTTTTTATGGCTGCATAGTATGTTTATCGCAGCATTGTTCACAATAGCAAGAACCTGGAAGCAACCATGCTGCCCATCAAAAGAGGACTGGATTTTAAAAAATGTGGTACATATACAAGATGGAATACTATGCAGTAGAGCCTTTCAACATCCAATAAAGAACAAAACTGATAGATCTGCACTGAGTCGCTATTTCCTGTGGGGAGTATACCTGCTTGGTTGTTGATGGAGTCGACTTTGGTCTGCAGTGCGTTGGGCGACTTCAAGAGGGCCCTGCAGGAGGTCTGATGGGTCACTTCTTGGGCTCCAGCATCAACTGAAAGAGCCTTTTAAGTTGGATTTTTATCTTTGCCAGGAGGATGTTTCCTGCCCCTGCTAATGTGTTATAATAAACAATGTGAATTTTATTATTTCTTTCAATAAGTTGGTAATTACTTGTTATAAATATTTATGGAGCAAGGTAAATTAGTCTTCATAAATAAATGACTTTAAACCTTTCTCACTCTGCCTTTCTTTTTCAGTAAACAACCTGAAGCCCCCAAATTCCCCTTTAAGGGACTACTTTGAACCAGGCTAAACCAATTCCACTACTGTCAGTCTGGTTCAAAATGGATTAACTGACTCAAAGCAGTTTTGACTACTGTCTTAATGCTGCTCAAATTGGATGAAACTCTGTTTTAAACTGTCAGAACTAATATTATGCAATTCAGACAGACTTGATTCCATTCTGATCAATTCAAATAGGCGCAGATGAGTTTTTCCCAGCAGTTTACTTGTAGTTTTAGGTACGTTTTTGTTGGTTCAGACTGATTTGAACTGGTTTTCATCAGGTCACAGCAGTTTATGATAACTCCAGCCTAACTGCCCATTGTAGTTTTCCAGCACCTAATGATTGGCAGGGAGAGACCACACCCCCTACACTCCCCCAAGTAGGGTTTGATTAGGTTCTTGATTTATAGGAGGCAGCAGCTCATACGCAGGGTGATGCAGCACATCTCTGCACCATTTTCCTTGGTAGTCAGAAGCCTGGGTGGGGAGTGTCAGTTGTACTGCTCTAGTACCAACATTGGGGTCTGGTGACCCTCTCAGACCAGAAGTTCACACTGTGGAGAAAACCTCCTTGTGAAAGAGCCAATTTCACAGGGGACTCACCACCTCCCTGGTGGGGAGGAATCCTTAAGTGGTGAGGAACGGTGGCCACCTTCAGAGTGTCCACTCCTGAGCAACGTGGTGACTGGAAGCAGCCTGAGCCCAAGTGGCCCACAGGGTGCTACTTCTGATTGAGCATATGCGAATGTCTAACTTCCCTATAGTTAGATATGTGCTTATTCAAACTGAAAGGTTGGTGCTGGTTCCAAGCAGCAGAGGCTAACCATGGCAGCTGCAGTTCAGAATAACAAGGACCAGAAGATCTCATTCTGCACCTTGCACTTGGCTTTCCTCCTAATCTAATTGCTGAAGCTCTTGTGAGATGTCATGAAACCCACTCCCCCACCAGTAGCTCAAAGTTTATGCCAACTTGCCACTTGGCCTCAAATCTCAGGGCCCCAGGGCCCTTGACAGCCTCTCTGTACCTTGTCACCTTCCCACACCTGTGTGCTGGCCACAGGGAAGGCATGGGGACCCATCCCTCGACCTAGGGCTCAGCTCACTCCTCACCCCTTCCTTCTTCTCAGAGGTCCTGACAGGAGTAGAGCTACTTTGTAGGTTTCATATGGTGAGTGCATGGAGTCTGAGACTTGGTTTGCTCTTAAAATGAGCAATTGGGGTGAGCCAGTTGAGATAACACTCCTAAGGCGATGGCCTCTCACACCTCCTCCTTTTCAGCCTGTGAGGGAGCAGGGGCCTTGGTGGACAGTAGGACAGGAAGACAAGGAGAAGGTCAGCCTATGTGACCAGAAGGGACATGGAACATTCCAAAGGAGGGTTATGAAAACCCAAGTGACTTTCCTTTTTTCCCTTTTTTTTCCACAAAGTAGCTCTATGCAGTCAGCCTACATAAACTTTCATTCACTTGTAGAGGTTTTTGAAGATTTCTCAGGATAGTGGTTGTGTCAGACCAAGAGCCACAAGAGGTAAATGAATTTTACCCTGGAAATCCCCAAGTTACTTCTTCCTTTTCTTCCTGTACATCCAGACTCCTAGTCCCTCTCTGCAGTGGATGCTGCTTAAATTTCTTGTGCATTTTTCCAATAATTTCTAGGACCTCTATACCAACCTATGTATAGACCTTTCCCTTAAAATAGATAAGAAAATCTAACCACATGGGTCTGCACTTTGCGTTTTCATTTCTCGGTAGATCTTGGAGACAGCAGCAGGTCCGCCTAATTATTTACGTGGCTGCACAGGATCGGTTCCCTGGATGTGCAATGACACATTTAACAGCTCACTGTGGACCAAGTGTTGGGTGGTTTCCAGTCAATGCAGCAGTGAGCAGCCTTGTGCGCCTGTCTTTGTTTTCAGGTGTGAGTTCTTTTATAGAAGTGGTTTGTGTATATAGCAGGGGTACAGGCCAGGAGCATGTCAACTTTGATAGACATGGGCAGAGCGCTTTCCCACGATAGGGACATTTCCCTTGGTTGCGTATGAGAGCTCCAGTACCCAGTCTGTCACCAGCACTATGTGCCACCAGCTGTTTGATTTTGATCCCCAGGCTGATGGGCGGGCACCAAGAGGTATCTTGCTGATTTCACTTGCTTGTCTTTCCTCATAAGTGAAGCCAAACACTCTTTCACATGTTCGTAGGTGGGATTTCTTTTCCTAGGCATATAGTCTGTTTATTTCCTTTGTCCATTCCTCTATTGGATTTCCACCCCCTCTCCAGCTTTATTGGAGTATAATTGACAAATACAAATTGTGTATATTGAAGGTATACAATGTAGTATTTTGATATAAGTACACATGCTGAAATGACAGGCAAGCTAATTAACATATGCATCGCCTCACATAATTACTTTTTGTGGTTAGAACACTTAAGATCTGTCCTAGCAAATTTCTAGTAAACATACAGTATTATTGGCTGTAGTCATTATGCTGTAAATTGGAGCCCTAAAACTTGTTCATCGTATAACTGGAAGTTTGTACTGTTTGACCAATATCTTCCACCCCTTAGTCCTTGGAAGTTGGAAATGTTAGTATTTCATAAGCAATGGTGTTATTCTTTACATATAAAAGAAATTAGCCCCTTGGTTGATATTACAAACGTTTTTCCCAGCTTACTATTGTCTCTTCCTCCTCCTCTTCTTCCTCTTCTCCCCATCCCTCTCTTTTCCTTCTCCTCTTCCACCTTTTTCATTTTTTACTTTGGTGAACATTTCATGTATCACTCCAGCACATCACTTCTTTTCCTGTGAGCTCACTGAGTTTTGGGGGTCAGTGTCACTTTCACACTCGTAAGATTATTTTCTAAATAACATTTTCTTCCAGAGCTATTATTCTTATTTTTTAAATATTAGATTTATCTGGGATTTATCTTGGTATATAGATACAGTAGGAGTTACATTGTAGGTATTTTTTCCCAGATAACTAACCAGTTGTGTTACAATTATTCAAGGAAACCATCTTTTGCTGGTTTGAAATGCTGCCTTGACCGTCCCCTGGGTTGCCATGTAGGCTGAGGTTGCCTTCTGGATCTGTTACAGGGATGGTCCATTCGGGTCCCAGACCCAGGCTGCTGTATTTACTGGGGCAAAAGGTGCATCTTACTCCTGGTAGGGCTATTTCCAGCCCTTGCCACTATCATTCTCTTTTAGAGTTCCCCTAGATATTTTTGCCTATTTATTTTTTTAGGAACTTGACAATCAGCTTATCTAATTAACACTAAAAATTCTTATTAACATTTTTGCTTGTCATGCACTGAATCTATCTACTTAAGGGGAAATGTCAGCTTTACAATATAGAATCTTTCTAGTCATAATAAGATTTATCTGTCCATTTATTCAGGTTTGTTTATCTTCATCAATAAAGTTTATTTCTAAAAATCTGGCATATATCTTGTTTGTTTATTCCTTGGTTTTATTCCTTTTATTGTTTTTGCAAACGTTAACTTGAATTTCATTATTTTTTCAGCTTGTTGCTGTTTGTAGGTACAAAGAAAGCTATTGACTGTTTAATGTAAAATTTGAAACCATTGCCTTAATGAATTCTCTTATTTTTAAAAAATAGTTTTTTAAGTTGTTTTATTTATTTATTTTTTTTCCTGGCATACAATCATACCATCTGTAAATAAGAATGATTTTTGCTGCTTCCTTTCTTGTTTTCTGTTACTTCTTCTTGTCTAATCAGATTAGGTAGAACACAAAGATCAATTTTAT